CGCTGAGCAGGGAGCCCGATGCGGGACTCGATCCCGGGACTCCAGGATCATGACCTGAGCCGAAAGAAGTTGCTTAACCAACTGAGCCACCCAGGCGCCCGGCCCATAATTTTTTTTTTAAGATTTTATTAATTTGAGACATACACACACACACAGGTGCGCACCAGTGTGGGGAGGGGCAGAGGGAGAGGGAGATTCCTCGCTGAGCAGGGAGCCTGATGTGGCGCTCCATCTCAGGACCCTGACTACGGGATCATGACCTGAGCTGAAGGCAGATGCTCAACCGACTGAGTCACCCAGGCTCCCCTGGTTGAACCCATTAAATCTCTCTCCCTGGTCTCACAGTCTACCCCCCACCCAAGAGGGCTGCTTGAGTGCAGCCTTCTCTTGGAGATGCCTCTAAGCCTTTGCTTATGCTGTTCCATACACCTGGTACACCCTTCTCCTTCTCTCCTTTCTTCTCTACTGTAAGCCCTGCCTCTCTTTCTCCACCCAGCCAGGACTCTGGAATTTCTGGGAGGCTGTCCCTGGCTATCTCCTCTTGCTCCTTACTTGTTCCTTTCTGTGTAACTGCCCTATCCCACCCTCACCCACAGGCTCCAGCTCCAAAACCTGGCTATCCTCTAACTGGGGACGGGGCGGGGAAGGGTGGCAGAGAGTCAAATTTCTGCAGGGAGGGTAGAAGCCTCAAGAGTGGGACTGGGAACCCCTGAAGTGAGGGAAGAGGCTACTAGTAGCTCTGGGTGCCAGGTTCATTCCCACTTGCCCATGTTTGCTTATCCCATGCTGCTATTCCCTGTGCATTCCCTCCATCCAAATTCTGTCTGAAGACAGTGGCTTTGGCCTTACCTCCTCCTGTGACTCCCTTCCCAGCGCCTAGTCCCTCTGCCTATCTCCGAGCCTGACCTGCCCCCACCCAACCCCAAACCTAGACCATGTTCTCTGACCTTCCCGTCGTGGAGAGTCTGTTCTCCCACCTAGTCTAAGAAGATGGGCTCAAGGCAGGGGTACCCAGAGCCTCTCTTAAGTACACACCTGTGGGGACATCTTGCCCTCAGTCCTCCGAGGCCCAGGTCCGCAAGGGCCACCTGACGGGGCTGAAGCCCGTGGTGCTGGTGACCTTCCAGTCCCCAGTCAACTTCCGTCAGTGGAAGATAGAGCAGCTGCAGATCCAGATGGAGGCAGCCCCCTTCCGCAGCAAAGGTGGGCCTGGGGGGCACCTGGAGGGGCCATAGCCTGGCAAGGTTTGTGGGGAGCTTGCTGGGGGCCTTAGCAGAGTCCATGACCTTGAGGGGGAGGCTGACATCCTCAGAGGAGCCCATGGCCTGGCGGGGTTTTGGGAGTTTTGGGGGTGCCGCAGTGGGGTCTGTGACCTGAAAGAGGGCACAGGGAGGCCTCAGCAGGGTCCTTGGCCTAGATAGGGCCACACAAAGGCTGCAGTGGGGTCCATGGCCTAGAGGGGGCCTGGGGAGGTGCAGGGAGATCCCAGGGGACTGTGGCCTGGAGGGCACCCTTGGGAGGCCCCAGAAACCTCAGTGCCCACTGTCTACCAGCAGAGCAGTGCACCGCAGAGGAGGTGTGTGTCATGAGCTGGTACACACCCATGCCCATCAAGAACGGCAGCGTGGTCATGCGTGTGGATGTCAGCAGCAATGGCCTGGGGCCCTTCATTCCCAATAAAAGGTGCCCTTTCCCAAGCCCGGGGCAGGGGGTAGACTCTGGGAGGGACTTCCTAATCTCCAGATCCCCCAAGAAGCCAGGAGGAGACCAAAGGGAGGGAAGAGGGTAGGGAGGTGATTGTGAGCTATGGCAGGAGCCCCCGACACTGGAACCCTCGCCTGTGCTTGTCCACACCTCCTGCCAGATTTCAGGTGAACATCAATGGCTTCTTGCAGAGACAGCAAGACAACACACTCCATTTCACTGTGGGGAATGAGGTGAGGGGCCCAGACAGTAGAGAAACATGGTAGAAAACGTGGGTTAAAGACAGTGGGCTGGGGCCCCAATGACTTCCCAGACAAGTGGCAGACCCCACTTCCAGAGTGCTCTCCTTGCACCAGGTCCCAGGTGAAGCGCTCCACTAAATGTGCAACCACGTTCAGTCCTCACAATGACCCTGTAAGGGAAGACACTCACACAAACCCATTTTCAGGAGGAAAACACTGAGGCCCCCAAGGGATGGACCCATTTGCCCCCAGTCTCCCAGCATGCAGCTATGGAACGAGACTTGAAACGATGTTAGCCTGACTCCTGCACCCATAGTCTTCGTCAAGGTGCATGCATGCGTTCAGCAGGCACTTAACTGAGCACACAGTGTGGCCATGAGGTGGCGCCATGGGGGGGGCAGGGGGAGTGTTGAGCAGCCCTCCCTCCAGCCCCACATGCCCCCTCCCCACCCCCGCCAGATCTTCAATCTGATACCCCGGTACTTCATGAATGTCCCATCGAGGGCCCTGTGGCACACTGTGGACCAGGCACCTGTGCTCATCTTGGGTGGCATTCCTGATGAGAAGTCCGTCCTGCTGACAGACACCAGCTTCACCGACTTCTTTCTTGTGGAGGTGAGTGGTGTAGGGCAGGTGGCGGGTGGGCTGGGGTTTCTTGAAGGGTGCTGGGCCTCAGCCTCTAAAATAAGGTGGGGTCAGGGCGCCTGGGTGGCTGAGTCGTTAAGCGTCTGCCTTCGGCCCAGGTCATGATCCCAGGGTCCTGGGATCGAGCCCCGCATTGGGCTCCCTGCTCCGTGGGAAGCCTGCTTCTCCCTTTCCCGCTCCCCCCGCTTGTGTTCCCTCTCTCGCTGTGTCTCTCTCTGTCAAATAAATAAAATCTTTAAAAAAAATAAATAAAATAAGGTGGGGTCTGGGGCTGTGGAAAGAGTCCCTAAAGACAGCAGCCCCCACGAGAGGCAGCCAGCAGGAAGGGAAGACGTAAGACTGCAGCCACTCCTGGCTATGTGACCCTGAGCCAAGTCATTTCACCTACCCGGGCCTCAGATTCTCCATCTGTCCCATCTGGAAAATGCAAATAATCTTTATACTCACCTCATAGAATCATCGTGAGTTTGGTATAAGTTAACATCAGCCAGACACAGAATGAGTACTCGACAAAAACAAAACCACAATGCTGTTGTGATACCCAGCAAAAGTAGCTAGAACCCTTTCATATCATCTAACAGGGCCAGAGTCAGTATTCCCCAATTATCTAAAAATGTCTTAAATCTTTTTTTTATTTGCGGGCGCCTGGGTGGCTCAGTCGGTTAAGCATCTGCCATCAGCTCAGGTCATGCGCTCAGGGTCCTGGGATTGAGCCCCGCATCCAGCTCCTTGCTCAGCGGGGAGCCTACTTCTCCCTCTTCCCTGCTTGTTCTCTCTCTCTTGCTCACTCTCTCTCTTTCAAATACATAAATGAAATCTTTCAAAAATTTTTAAAAATTAAAAGAAATTTTTTTATTTGAATATAGTTGACACAATGTTACATTAGTATCGAATGTACAACATAGTAATTCAGCAAGTTTATGCATTGTATAGCTACCGTCTATACATTGTGTAGCTACCATCTGTCCCCATACAACACTATTACAGTACCATTGACTATGTTCCCTGTGCTGTACCTTTTATTCCTGTGACTCATTCATTCCCTAACCGGAAGCCTGTATCTCCCACTCCCCTTCGCCCATTTTGCCCATCCTCCTACCCCTCCCCTCTGGCAACCATCAGTTTGTTCTCTGTATTTATGGGTCTGATTCTGCTTTCTGTTTGTTTATTTATTCATTTGTTGTTTTTTTTTTTAGATTCCACATATAAGTGAAATCATATGGTATTTGTCTTCTTCTGTCTAACTTATTTCACTTAAAATAACACCCTGTAGGTCCATCCATATTGTCACAAATGGCAAGATCTCATTTTTTATGGCTGAGTAATATTCCATTGTGTATGTATACCACATCTTCCTTATCCATTCATCAGTCGATGGACACTTGGGTTGCTTCTATATCTTGGCTATTGTGAATAATGCTCAGTAAACATAAGGGTGCATATATCTTTTCAAATTAGTGTTTTCCTATTCTTTGGGGAAATACCCAGTAGTGAAATTATACTGGATCACGTAATTCTACTTTTAATTTTTTGAGGAACCTCCATACTGTTTTCCACACTGGCTGCACCAGTGTGCATTACCACCAACAGTGCATGAGGGGTCCTCTTTTTTTTTTTTTTTAAGACTTTATTTTTAAGTAATCTGTACACCCAACATGGGGCTAGAACTCACAACCCCAGTATCAAGATTTGCTTGCTCTACTGACTGAGTGAGCCGGGCACCCCAGAAGGTTCTTTTTCCTCCACATCCTCCCCAACACTTGTTGTTTCTTGTTTTGTTGATTTTAGCCATTCTGACAATTGTGAGGTGATATCTTCCTGTGGTTTTGATTTGCATTTTCCTGATGATGAGTGATGTTGAGCATCTTCTCATGTGTCTGTTGGCCATTGTCTTCTAAAAATGTCTTTTAAAGTTGGTTTGAATCAGGATCAACACATTGTGTTTGGTTAAGTCTCTTAATACTCTTCTCACCTGTAAGTCTGCTCCCCACTCCATCTCCTTCCCCTCATCTACCACCTTTTCTCAGGCAATTGGAGAAAGCAGGCCTTTTGTCCTATAGAATTTAGCTGCTTGCTTCTTCATGGAATTGGTTAATTTGTTCCTCTGACCCTATGTAGTAGTCTGCTCAGGCTGCCATAACAAAATACCACAGACTGTGTGTCTGAAACGAAAATTTATAGTCTCACAGTTCTGAGGCTAGAAGTCCAAGATCAAAGTGCCAGGAGGGTGGTTTCTGGGGAGGCCTCTCCTCAGCTTGCAAGTGCCGTCTCAGTGTGTGCCTTTTCTGTGCTCACCTGTGGAGAGAGAGAGATCTCTGGTGTCTCTTCCTCTTCTCATAAGGACACCAGTCCAATAGGATTAGGGACCCATCTTTATGACCTCAGTGGACCTTAATTTTCTCCTTAATGGCAGGGTTAGGGATTCAACATATAAACTGGGGGTGGGGACACAATTTGGTGCATAACACCCCATAGAGTTATTGCCTGTAAACTGGTACTGAGCTCTAGAGGCTTGATTAAATTTAGATTCTTTTATTTATTTATTTTTAAAGATTTTATTTATTTGAGAGAGAGAGAATGAGAGAGAGAGAACACATGTGAGGGGGGAGGGTCAGAGGGAGAAGCAGACTCCCCGCTGAGCTGGGAGCCCGATGCGGGACTCGATCCCGAGACTCCAGGATCATGACCTGAGCTGAAGGCAGTCGCTTAACCAACTGAGCCCCCCAGGCGTCCTAAATTTAGATTCTTTTAGTCAAGAACCCTCCACTGATGGTGCTTCCCCACGGTTAGTCTATGATATCGCCAGCGTTAGTGATTGGTCAGTGAGTTCAGAGCGTGTCAGCCTGACAGCCAGTTGTGTCCAAGGTAAAATAGGGTGGTTGGGCCAAACATGAGACCTTTGGGATCTGACTGTGGCCTGGGGAACAGAGATTGATGTGTGCTGTTGAGTATGCTGTGCACTGCCAAACTCTAGGGAGCACACAAAGTCCCAACTGCCTCTGGCTTGGGTCACCTGCCTCCCTGACCCATGTTGGGCAAGTGTGGCCACAAGGTACTACTTCATGGTGAGCAGGGAAGGTGCCCTGGGGGCAGCTGCCTGTGTCCATCCCAAGCAGTTGTCAGAGCAGGTGCCCCCCTTCCCAAGGCAGGATCTGGGGGCTGAAGCCAAGGTGAACCTGCTCACCACTGGCTCTGCTCTCCTGCAGTTGAACATTGACAGTTGCTGGGTAGGCTCCTTCTACTGCCCTCAGGCCAGTTTTACTGCCACTGTCTATGATGCTATTGCTACCGAGAGCACTCTCTTCATTCGGCAGAACCAGCTTGTCTACTATTTTACGGGCACCTATCTCACCCTCCACGAGAGCAACCGCGGCAGTGGTGAGGGGTCCCTGGCATCACAGGGAAGGGGTCCTACCTGTGGGAGCCCCAGGGAGGGCACCCCAGTGAACCCATCCACTGGAAGCGCCCGGGATTGGAATTTCCATGGGTGGGGAGGGGGGTGTTAGAGGGACTTTCTGAGGTCCTTGATCATCACCACCCACCCCAAATGGCCTTCTCCTACCCTCTATATGCTGGGATAAGGCTTTCCTCCGGACCTATGAACCAGCAGAGGGGAGAGGGAGGCGTGAGAGGGAAAGGAGAGAGAGAGAGAGAGAGAGAGAGAGAGGCAGACATGTGCACGCGTGCGCGCGCACACACACACACACAGTGTCAGAAAGACAGAGGAAGACAGGCAAAGACACATGCATAGAAAAGGAGCAGTTTGGGGGGTGGGAGAGAGGTATGGAGAGTCAGAGAGAAAGGCAGACACAGAGAAAGTGGGATGAGCAGTTGGAGAGGAAAAGCCACAAAGGTGACTGATCACAGAGGAAAAAGAGACTTTTGATTTAACCTTATCTTTTTTTTTTTAAAGATTTTATTTATTTATTTGAGACAGAGAGAATGAGAGAGACAGAGAGCACATGAGAGGGGGGAGGGTCAGAGGGAGGAGCA